CTTAAATGATTTTAGCAAATGGCTGCAATATAACAAAGAGTGAAAAATTTAAGGGGGTCTGAATACTTTCCGTACCCATTGTACCTACACTGTATCATGGATAAATCTCTTACCCCTTATTTACACTGTACACTCTCCGCGCTGCATCACTAAAGATAGGCACCTATATTTCTGACGGATAATTATAATAATAATAATAATAATCTTCTTGTTGTCGTCAAAGAAATCAGCCACAGGTGATATCTCTGACTATCGTCGATACATACTATCGTCTACCGGTGTCCTGACATATTATCCTACCCATCAGATTGTCCTACCAGGGTATACTGCGCATGCGCACATCAATATTGTGTCCTTTTTCTCACGTTGAACAACTATTTAATGTATCTGCATTACTGTAAGGGTAGGTTTAGGGTTGGGGTAGGTGTAAACTTTAATAAAACACAATCTAATAGGTAGAAACAATTATTTATTGTTTGTTTCCTGTAGCTGTATCCCTTCTAGCCACAACAGCGAATATAACACATAATTACTGTATTTGCATTACTGTAAGGGTAGGTTTAGGGTTGGGGTTAGGGATGCACCGATACCACTTTTTCCAGTACTCGCCCGATACCGATACTTTTATTTTTGGTACTTGCCGATACCGAGTACCGATACCAATATTTTTTATTGCATTTGTAAATTTTTTAAATATTGGGTACAGAAACCAAAAGAGTATGTATAATGTTAGTTGGTTAACTTCATTTATCAAATAGATACAGTCAAACCCAAATTTATTCAGACACCTTCAACATTTCTCACATTATCACAGTTTATTCGCTATAGTTTAGAAAATGGTAATAAAATATGACAAGAACTCAGAGTTAAACTGTGTCAGAACAAATTCAGCTTGATAATGTCAGATAACTTTGATAGAAAGGTATGTAATAGATTATAATCAACCTACTTCGTAGTAGACATCCTTAACTCCATTCTGCTGTCTGTTGTTCTGTTGTCGGTGTTTCTTTGTCTGAACATGGCGCTTATCACATGCTGTGTGGTACCAGCGTTTGGTATCGGGGCATTTTAACTAGTACTAGTACAGGAGCTCAGTATCGGGCCCGATACCGATATCGGTATCGGTGCATCCCTAGTTGGGGTAGGTGTAGACGTTAATGAACCATAATTTTACAGGTAGCATTTTTGATTGTTGAATTGCACTACCCACTGTTTTAATGGGAGGTAGCAAAATCTGACAGGGTAGCACAAATCGACAGAACACCGGCACAACCCTAAATTAAGGTTGTGATGACGATTCGTTTCCTTACCATAATGTATTCTCTTGAAAATTCTTTATTGTCAAATGTGTGTTGAATGTAATATTAGGAATTTAACCATTCAATGTGAATTTATCTGAGAATATTCTTAAATAAGGAAATCTATTCAGTGATTGGTCCATGCGTATTTTGTCATCCAAAATCCCGTTTGTGGCACAGCAAAGTGTCGTGAATCAACTCTGAGACTCACACTTAAGATTTAGTCCTACACTTCGCTTAAATTACAACTGAGATGCTTGATAACTAACTTAAGTGCCGCTTTGAGCCAAGAATTTATTTTACACTTAAGTCAATTCTTAGCAGCGTTCTTGAGAGTAATTCTCAGAGGCTTGATAAATAGGCTACGGGCCCTGACAAATATGTGACCATTAAGATTTTGTCAGTTTAGTTTAGCAAATAATATTTTATTTTTTTCATTTGAGTTTGGAATGAAATATAGCTAATGCCCCTTTTTTACCGTTTCTATTATTATCATTTAATAAGTGATGCAGAGTTCAAATTTACAGCATTTTACATTGGCTTCTGTGAACAAAAGCTAGCATATTTTCTCACTGCATAGTGCAGACATTGAACTCACTGGCATCACAAATATTTTTGATAGTTAAACTATTCACCACAAGATGGCGCTCCAATGCACAGAGTCTGCATTGTTGCTCTGATTTAGGGAAGTGAAGTGAAGTGAAGTGACATGTGGCCAAGTATGGTGACCCATACTCGGAATTAGTGCTCTGCATTTATCCCATCCGTGAACACACACCCTGAGCAGTGGGCAGCCATTTTTGCTGCGGTGCCCGGGGAGCAGTTGGGGGTTCGGTGCCTTGCTCAAGGGCAACTCAGTCGTGGTATTGAAGGTGGAAGAGAGCGCTGTACATTCACTCCCCCCACCTACAATCCCTGCCGGTACGAGACTCGAACCCGCAACCTTTGGGTTACGAGTCCGACTCTCTAACCATTAGGCCACGACTTCCCATTTAGGCTATCCATCTGTCTTATTAAATTTCAGTTAAATTTATTGTGAATCATATATAAACTTTTGAGCCATATATTTGAGAAATAGACAAGTTAATCAAATCGCCATTTCATCAAACAATAAAATGCATTAATAAAAACGTATATTGTCATTTTCATTGAAGCCATATATTTTTCTCCTTCATCTTTAATAATAAATATTGTTTATATCGATCAACCCTTCAAATCATAAGCCTACAATGCCTCCAATATGAGTTCTGACTCCTGTTGTCGTAAATGATGAATTTAGTGCTGTTATGCATTCATATCTTCAAGTCATCATGCTTTGTTGCTATAGTAACATGAAAGTTCTTGAATTGTCTAATTATACCAAGGACAGAATGACTGTGACATTGTGTTTGCGTGTGTGTGTGTTATAATTTAAAAGCTCAGTTAGCTCACTTTTCCTCCCCTCAGTATCTCATCTGTCACTCGTCTTCATTTAATTGGCTGGGAATCCACCTACAAAGCCATTCCCACTTGTCTCCTACCTGCAGGAATTTAAGAATTGGTGACTCCTGTCCTCACAACTTCTTAAAGTCTTCTGTGAATCGGAGCTCACGATGGTATCTCCACTCGCACTGCTCGTTCAATGCAGTGTAATGTATCTTTATGTATTAAACCTCATCAATCCTTTTGTAATGCCTGCCCTCGCAGCTCAGTGGCAGATATCTTGGGTTAATTAGCTCGATGCTGTTTTTAGTTGGGCTGTGATTCTCGCCCCACTGGAGGTTGTTTCTACAGACTCAGCGTCTGTTTGTTTGCCTGAGCTCTGTCGCTGCTGAATTAGCCTGCTTCCTAAAGGTAGCTTACACTTCAGCTCTCAACAGCGCTGTCACAATGGCCCTTTTTCCAGACGCTCTGAATTCAGCTCACACCATACTCAAATGGCAAGTAGTGGCATTCAAACAGGAGGCAGTCATTAAAGGGATAGTTCACCCAAAAATGGCATTTTGTTATTATTTATTCACCCTCGTGTTCTTCCTAACTCGTATGACTTCTGTGGAATACATTTAAGAATGTGTCAGTTGCTATTTTTAATGCAATTACAGTGAATGAGAACTGAAGCATTTAAGCCTTAAAAAGGTCACAAATAAAAGTGGTCCATATTTTTCCACATTTAATGAAGTTATGTGACCAGTTTATGTGAGTATCAAGTAGGGCTGCACGATAAATCGCATGCGATATTTAACGCGCATCTTATCAGTAAAGCCGGTTCTGTAATCAGCGGTAAATGTCCATCACGTGCGTGCTTTCACATTGAGCAGCATTAAC